TGTATTGGTTCATTTCGTCATATCCGCACGACTTATTTTGCTTTAGTTTAGTCAGAACTTTGTTAAATTCTTTATAGGTTTTTTTCATTTGATATTCATGATAGGTGTTTTTCTACAATAAGTTTATTAAACTTCTTATTTGGGATCACTGTTTTTGAAGCTAGACTAGAACCAAGATTTACAAAGTGTTAGTTAAGTTCATAGTAAATATCTGATTCATTTGTAATGTGTTCAAAAAGGTAATCATGGCAGAATTTGAGTCAATTAAAAATGACATCAAGTCAATTCCAGTTTCTAAAGTGAAAATTACTGCTACATACTGCATACAAGATTTTAATTTAGAAATGGTAAGCAAGCGGTTATGAGGTTATGGCTGCATTAAAAAAAAAAGGAAATGGATGTTTTAATCTAAAATGAGATGGATTTTTTTAAAATTTCCTAAGCTGTGGAGGTGCTGGTAACTCATATGAGAATACATCGCGTCAAGTATAGCAAGTTGATTAATCTGCTAAGATAATGGGTGTGAGTGCTAACCTTATTAGAAAACTACCTCATTAAAACTGATAGACACGGCGTTTTCGTAAATCTTTGAAGCAAGAGAATGTGACGTCACTTTGTGGCAAAAAACTAGAAAAAACAAACTAGTAATAAGATTTTATTTAAATTTTTTAGAAAAATCACTTTCATTAGAAATATATATAATATATTTTTACGGGATATATTCTTATAAAGACTAAATATAGTAATTACTATGTCATTTCTTTAAAACTATTTATTTATTAATATTATAATAAATACAAACTCTTATCCGTGAAGTAATATATCTTTACCAGTTTTACTACTTTTTGTGCAATTGTATACACCCTAATTAAGATTAATTAAAAAATATAAGATAAATGCAATAGCAATCTCGACCTTAAAATGATTTTTTTACCTCAAACTGACGTCACTAAACTGACGCAAGACATTTTTCGGCTTCACTTTTAGATTAACAATTTTTTATATAAAATGCTCTTCCTGGCGTAATTGTTTTGAGATAAAGCACTGAGAATTTTGTTAAGGGGGAAAACCTCTCAGAAAAAAATTTTTTTTTTCAGATATTTCAAAAGTAAATTTATTAAGAAATCAAATGGTAAAAACCTTATTCAAAAATCGCTATTTTTTATATCAATAAATGACACTTTTGTACAACCACCTGAGTTCAAAATTACCTAGCAACGCCCCTAGTTACAGAAAAACTGTGAATAAAACACATCTAGTATAGCTTTTTATCCGGGTTTTTTTTGCAGTTTAGTTTGAAATGCTTCCCATTATCTCTAAAGCCATACTTTAAAACCACATATTTGACTGATAGTGCTAAAATTAGTCATCTTTTCAAGCTTCTACACAATCAACTCAAGCTTTCTATATAATTAAAAAAAATGGACAAGTCTAAAACTGAATATAAAAGTGATAGAGTAAAATTTTCTACAAAACTTCTTCGAAAACGTAAATGTACATTTTCTGGTTTAAGAAAGCAAGAAAAATGTGTAAATATTGGTGTAAATAATGTTAATAGTAATAATGAAAATATGGTAGACTCTGTAAATATTGAAAGTGAAAGTGTATTTAAAAGTGCATCAAAAAAAAAAGTAAAGCAAGTAATGGTTCCAAGTGGACAAGCTACAGGTTTATTGATTTAGAAATTCTTGCTTCCATTTTTGATAAACTTGGGTGTCCAGAATGTTTGCGACCATCACAGTTGTCGTTAAGCGAAAATAAAAAGTCTTGCAAAGGATATGCATCAAATTTATCATTAAATTGTGTTTGTGGTTTCAAGTTAGACTTTGACACATCAAAAAATGTAGCAGGGTTTGATATTAACAAAAGATTAGTGTATATCATGAGAACACTTGGTCAAGGCCAAGCTGGTCTACATCGGTTTGCCACTCTTATGAATATCCCAAAAGGATTATGCAATAAAAGCTATAATGTTATTGTTCAAAAATTGGCAACTGCAGCACAAACTGTTGCTGTTGAAACTATGAATGAAGCTGTACAAGAATTCAGAGAAGGCAAATCTCTTAATGAGATCTTAGATATTGGAGTTTCTGTTGGTGGAACATGGCAAAAAAGAAGATTTAATTCACACAATGGGGTGACGGCAGCATTATCAATTAAAAATGGGAAGGTTTTAGATGTTGAAGCATTATCTAGAAAGTGTAAAATATGTGACAAAAATCAAGATGTTGGTAATTCAAAGCAGCAGCTAACAGCAAAAAAATCACATATTTGCAATAAAAACTATGAAGGATCAGCCGGTGGAATGGAAACAGTTGGGGCAATAAAGATATTTAATTGCTCTTTGCAAAAATTTAATTTACGATACACAGAATACTTGGGTGATGGTGATAGCAAAAGCTACACTTCTGTCAAAAACACATACAAGGGTATTGAAGTAATTAAACTAGATTGTATTGGACATTTTCAAAAGCGCATTGGATCTCGTTGTAGACAATTAAAAAAGCAAGTCAAGGGTTTAAATGGTAAAGGCGGTTTAACAAACGCTACAATTGATCGGTTGCAAAATTATTTTGGTATTTGCATTAGGCAAAATTGTGGCAACTTTGAAGGTATGAGATCTTCAGCTTTGGCTAGCTTATTTCATGTAGCATCTTCAAGCAAAAATAATTGGCATTACCCGCATTGTCCCACAGGAAAAGATAGTTGGTGTAAATACAATCGAGATAAAGCTAATGGAACCAAAGAGTATAAACCCGGACCAGGTCTTCCTATTGAAATAGTACACAAGTTAAAGCCCATTTATGTAGAACTAACATCAGATGTTTATTTAAATCGTTTGCTTCATGGAAGAACACAGAATCAAAATGAAAGTATTAATGCAATGATATGGTCTAGAATACCTAAGTCAAAGTATGTTTCGCTTACGCAATTGAAGTTTGGACTCTATGATGCTATTGGTGCCTTTAATATAGGATTAAAGTCTAGTATACTTACATTTGAAAGACTTAATATGATACCAGGGCAACATACCATTTCTGGATGCAATTACCTGAACCAGAAAAGAGTTATGATGTCAGAGTATAAAAATCAAGACACTATCAAAAAAAAAAGGAAGATTTTAAGAAGCCGCAAGCTTAAAAAATTTGACAAAGTTGAACAGAAAGAAGGGAAATTTTATACGGCTGGTGTTCATGAATAAAAAAATACAATCAGCATGCTCTTTTTATATTATATTTTTTGTATCTTTGTTATTATATAATATTTTTCATCACAATTTCAACTTATTTGGCATTTTTCTCAGAACGCGTGTTTTTAATCTCCCGGCAGAAGTATCTTGAGAACCGCTTGACCGATTTTAATGAAATTTTCAGGGAGTATTCCTCTCATAAAGATGTATGCAATGAGCAGACAACTTTTTAAAAATGTTTTTTAAACTAAAGAAATTTAAAAAAATATCTATCATTTTTGTGCTTAAAATTTTTGCCAAACTTAAACAGGCCTACTACCTGACAGAAAAGTTATTTTCAAAAACTGTCTGCTTATTGCATAGATCTATCTTTTAACTATAAGTTCGAAAAAAATCAGCTCAAAGTATCATTCTAATTGACTGCAATCTTTGCCAGGGTGAAGAGACTAATTTGACATTTTCCCTTAGTAACCACGTTGCCATGGCAACAGAGTGCTATTTTTTATGATAGATCTTCTTAACATTTAGTATACTTTTATTTGGAACATGTAATAACTTTATTAATGCTTTACTTTAGAAAATAAGTTTTTGAGGGGTTTTCCCCCTTAATACTACTAGGTGGATTATTATCCAAAATTGATCTAACTAACCAAAATTTTCTCACCCATACACAATATAAAACTTTTATTTATGGGAGATTTTTATTAGAAATTTTATAATTTACCTCTTCCGGGTAAGTTGCTTTCACCACTGTCTAATCTTCTTTTAATAACAGTTATTTATAAAAAAAATATTTATAATTAATTTAAAAACAAATTATATACATAATTGGAAGTTGACTTTAACATAGTTTAAATTTGAAAATAATATTTATGTTAGTAATAAAATTTTTAACGTTAATATAGAAAAAATGTTTATAAATAGTTTAAAATAATTTGTAAACTGTAGTTTAAAAAAAACTCTGTTTTTGTAATTTAATTCCTTATAACTTAATTTAAATTAATTTAGATATTTATAAATTTTTATACAACTTTTATGTTAAACATGTATAACATTTATACAACTTTTATGTTAAAAAAATTTAATGAAAAACACCATAAACATTTTTATATTTTAGTATTTTTAAGGTGGTACACCACCAAATATTCTAAAATGTTCAAACTTAAAAAAAAAGAGATAAATTTTATATCAATAAAAATTACATTAATATAGAATGCTATTTTATACTTTATTTTACTTTGCCTCGATTACTTTGCCTTAAATTTATCTAAAAACATTCATTTTAATGGGTCCATTCAAAACACAATTACTTGAAATATATTAACACAGCATCCATGAAATTTTTTACTTATGTTCTACGCATGTAAGGTAAGGTATTGACATTTGGATTTAAAGATTTTCAAATTACATAAAAAATTATATCAATTTTTTTACATCAAGTAAAAAAAAAAAACTTTTTTAGAATTTTTATTAAAAAATTAAATTATAAAAAATAATTGGAGCAGAATTTAAAAATTTTGAAATGTTATGCCCAAGGAAAATTTAAAATAAACATTTCCTGAAAATTTGAAGTGGTTTGCACTTCTGCTTCTCAAGATATCATGTTTACAATCAGACAATTTTTTGCAAAATTTGAAAACAGAGAAAAACGCAGAAGAAAATTAAATATTCTCATCAATCTTTAATATTTTTTTACTTATTTAATCGAAAAATTAAAAAGTAAGTTGAGAATAAACTTTATATTATTATTATACAACAAGCTGCCTTTCAAATGAGCGAAAAATCAAAAATTCACTTTTTTTTTACAATATTCAGAAAGTATTTGGTGCTGTACCACCTTAAATGTTTCAAAAATAATAAAAAAATTATTATCATTTTAAATTTGTTGAATTAGAAAATTGCAGCATGAGAGATATCTGTTAAACTAGAAGGTGCATAGTTTAAAAATTGAAAAATTCATTATCTCAAATAATTTAAAATTATGTACGTTTAATATCTTTTTTCTTCTCAGCAAATTGATGAGATTTTCCTCAAGATGGTATACAAACAAGTAGCACCATGATACAGAGCCTTTGTTAAATGTTAATATATAAAAGTATTGATATAATTTTCTAAGGTTTGTCACAATAACAACAAGATATTTTATATTTTATGTAAACAAATGCTCTGCAAACTACGGAATGATTTTCAACATTTGATTCATCCACTGCAATTAATTTTTGAAAAATCTCAACTATGTTACGAGCAAGATCTTGTTACGAAGAACTGTCATTATTGGCATAATTTCTTGTGCGTGTAACACTCATTCACAAATTTATACAGCCATTTTGATAATACATTAATATTAAAATTGCTCCAATGAGGCAATCTTTACCGATATTCCATTTTTTTAAATACAGTATCTAATTAGTGCAAATTGAAGGACTAAAAGAAATACAAAATAATTATTGCATAATAATTTTTAATAATCTCTAAAAATTTCTTGTAAATTTTAGGCAAATCCAAAAATCAGTTTGACTTATGAGTTTTTTTTTTTCTAATTAACAGCTGACTCTAACTTTTTACGAAATGTTCGAACACTAATAAACAATCAACATCAATTATAAAAAATAAACAAAATAAATTCCATCATTAATAAACAATGTAACAAGCTAAACTTGCATAAATTGAACAAGCAGATTTTGGCCAGCTAAAACAGTTTGAAAAATTAATTTTTGTAGCTATTTCAAAAAAGTTTTAATTTAAAATTTTCAAGCAAATACAACATACTTAAATATACTTTTATTCTAAAAAATGTTAAAACAAAAAATATTTTTTCATTTTAATATTTAAAATCTTCAAAATTTTTTTGTGAGAGACTGTTGATTTATTGTAAAATTATTCAGACATTTCGGTGTAATAAAAATGAGTAATAGAAAATTTAAAAACATTTCTATGATAAATTTTCAACCAATTGGCATAGATTTTAAAAATAATTTGAAACAGAATATTAACTAGTTTTCCATATAGTAAAGACTTTAAAAAAACATCCAATGGTGTAAAGATCTTTTAATATACAATTCAGACATTATGTTTATCTGTAAACTTCTTTTAATGTAAAACTGATCCAAAACATATTTTAAACGAGTTTGATTCTTCTGACATATTTCACGAAAATATTCCCATAAAAATAGTGTTATAACTTCTGAGTAATATTTACATTGATCAATGAGTAATATTTACATTGACAGAATTGGTAAAAACTCAATACATCTAAAGTAAAAAACCTATTTATCAATAACTACATTCGTTTTTAATTGACTGCTAATTTTAAATTAGCATTGAGGTTTTAAAGAGATTGCAAAGAAATTATATTAATCGATCCAAAAATAGTACAGTTTCTTTAATCCACAATGAACAATGGCTTTTTAAATTTCATCGAAACTTTAAACCATTTAACAAATATAAATATTCTAAAATTTATGCTTAAAATTAGCAACTTTGAGTTCGAAATTTTATCCACAGAAGGTATAATATAGTTAAAAAATAAACAAACGCAATTAAAACAGCACTCTAACATATTTCTGCCATTTCTTTTACAAATTAGACTAACAGTTGCGTAAGAGTTTGGCAAAACAATAATATTTGGCACGCGTTAAAATTTCGTTCCTATTACGGATTTTCAGCCAACAATATTGTAATAATAATAATAATAATAATAATAATAATAATAATGATAATAATAATAAGGAGCAACACTAGTACTTATCAAACATATAATAATAAAAAAATAATAAAAATAATAACAATAATATTCTAAATATAAAAAATGCGAGATATATATTCATATATATCTCGCATTTATTATTACGTTGGCTATAAAATAAAATGTCGAAATCTGAGTTTCGATATCAAATAAACATTTATTTTTTGAATTGCAATAAGGATATAAAAATATTGCTAAAATGTGTGCAAAGATCGAAGAAAAAGACAGATACAGATAGCTCTTGTATTAAAAGAAGAAGGCTATAGCCTCAGACAAATAGCAGAAAAGCTCGGAAGGTCTCACTCTTGCATTATTAACATAATTCAACGATACAAAGAGACCGGGTCAATTAATGATCGTCATAGGACTGGACGCAATAAAATTTCAAATGACCGTGATGTTCGCTCGTTAGTGAGATTAATGAAAGAAAACAGACAAGCATCATCTACAGACTTGTCTATGAAATGGACACTGTCAAATGGTCTGAAAGCAAGCCCTAGAACTGTGCAAAGGGTCATCCATAATTTAAATTATTTATGGCGTGCTGCTGCAAAAAAACCACGCTTAAATAAAAAACAAAAATTTGCCAGGAAAGAGTGGTGCAAACTACATAAAAATTAGTCAACAGATCAGTGGAGCCGTGTGGTCTTTAGTGATGAAATAAACGTGAGGTAGACAACAGAAAAGGTCGCGTAATGTTGCGTAGACTTCCAAGCGAACGGTTCGATGAATCATGCATTTTGAAACGAACAAAACAAGGCAGTGGTTCAATAGGCATTTGGGCCTGTATTAGTGCCTGTGGAGTTGCCCTTTTTCATTTATTTGATGGTAGACTCAACAAAGAAAGGTACATCGAAATTTTGGAAAACTCGCTTATTCCTAGCATTGATTTATGGCAGTTGCAAGATGGATTTATTTTCCAACAAGATAATGCGCCGTGTCATAAAGCGCATGTTGTTAGCGATTGGTTCAATTCTAATAAAATTCAAGTGCTTCCATGGCCTGCCAATAGTCCAGACTTAAATCCAATATAGAATTTATAGTCGTGGCTTAATCACAAGCTTGGTAAAGAACAAGCTTGTGATTAATTCAAATGATGATCTCTCATCATTTGAATAATGTGCCAGATGAAGTAATCAAAACTTTACTGAATTCAATGCCAGAACGAGTACAAGAGTGCTTGAAAACGAATGGAGGAACAACACATTTCTAAATTATTTTTTTATTGCTTTTTGAAATATTTTTGAAACTGTCTTTAAATTTTGTCTAATTTTTTTCTCCATTTATATTTTTTACTAGTCAGTTTTTTAATTTTTTAACATTATTTTGTAAAAAAATTATAAATTCTTTTATAATAAATATAAAATACAATAAAAATTCTTTCTAAAAATGTTTTTCATTTTTTGATATCTTTTTCCAAAATAAAATTATACTAAGGTTAAAAATAAATTTTGAAAAAAAAAAGAGTGGTCTTTAATTTTTGGCCACCGCTGTATATACATACATACATACATAATGCCCTGGGAAGGTATCAATTTCCTACCAAATCTCGTAGGAAGATATGGTATTATGAAAATCCATATCTGTTTGATAAGATTGAAGGAATTTTCAACGTAAATCCATCACCTGAATAACAAATACCAATACCAAAAATAAGTTTAAAGAAGATATATAGTTTTTTATTCTAAAATTTACTTATTTATCTATGGCATTTTAAACCAAAGCTAAGGAAATATGGTACTTATATATAATTCCTAGGTGTTGATAAGTGTAAGGACAGACCACTTTACCAATCCTTAGATAGTCAGTCAATGCATGCACACTCCAATGCGCCTATACCTAAATCATTATGTGTGTCTCTGCTGATTCATCAATTCTAAGTAAATTACTTAATAAAACAAAAACAAGAAAATAAAATATAGTTAAATAACAAAAACAGCATTAATCAATAAAAAAATAAAGATAAAATCATTATTTAAAATAAACATGTGTGATAAGTGACCAGGGCCGGGTTTATGACAAGGGCTGCATTTAATTGATAGATATTATAAGTATATATTTTAATCATCATTATCATCATTATGTGGAGCTCCATATCTATCTCTATTGTGTATTAGATACATGTGGAGAGGTTAGGGTTATTGCTTTCGGCATTTATAAAGCATTTGATTAAGTTTGGCATCCTGGTCTTATCCATAAGCTCTCTTCTTATGGTATATCAGGTAACATCTTTAAGATTATTAAATCATACCCTATCAATTGTAGTATAAAACAATCATCTTTGGTTAAACCGAAAAGTCAATGTTTTTTTATTTTTTTAAATCATTATATAGCCCCATTTTATACAACTTACAATTGAGCAGAGATTAAGAATGGATTGTATTCTATTTTTATTTTACCCCTGATTGGCACGGATCTAGCAGAAATTTGTGGCGAGCAACCTGCAGAACTCAGAGCAAGACCTCCCATATGCTGAAATAATGTGGGATTGTTAATTAAATTTAAGCAATTAAAAAACAAGTTAAAATATGTGAAATTTTGAAATAAATTATCGAAAATTTTAACTAAATAAACTTTTATGTAAATAATTCTATTAACTAAATTTAAAAAAATCATTTTAATATTATTTTCAAAAAATACTAATTCAGATTCTTTACCAATTGCGATTATTTATTAATTGAAATTTAATCAGGGCTGGCACAATGAAATTTTTTGTAATGTATTATATTAATATAATACTTTTAAGAAATTGCAGGTTTTTGTATAGTAACACAAGCGTTTGCACTCATTCCGAAGTTAACTGGCTTCTTTTCCAGTTGTTAATAAGCCACGCAGTACAAATTAACCACTCCAAAAACACTGTTCATAGGGGTATCACTGAACAAAATGTGTTTGTTTTTCCATATAAAGAAATTAGAATTTCCTCCAGTATTCAAACACATTCATGACTTGCGAGCAGAGGTTCTTTAAAGAGACTTAAACAAATCTGAGAAGGTGCATGATTTGGGTTGTCTGGAAAGTGATTTTGAAAGTTAGAAATGCCTAGACCAAGCCAAGGCATTTCCATTGTGTAACTGTGTATATTGGAGTCTTTACTAATCAAAGGAAGATAGCCATAAATATTAAGACCACAAGTTGAGAAAGCCTAACTCAATATAGTCTTATAAGGAGCAAGTAAGTCTGGTGAATTTGCAAGAGGTAAGATTCAACAGAAGAAAAGTTACTACAAATTGCCTCATTTCCATTAATAAACACTTAGATGTAACAAAGGGCTACAAATGTGGACTTGACAATGCACACCAAAAGTACAGGAATACCATACATGCAAAACATGGTACTGTTAGTGTACAGCTGTTGTTTGTTTTCAGCCTCTCTGAGAACTACCACAGAGTAAGGAAAATCTGACAAGAAGCCAGCCTTAGAACCATAAAACTGAGTTTTAGAGCTGCACCCTCATTAGGAGATAATAGAATGAGTTTCCTATCCATGCAAACAGAGATACAAGCAGAACTAATGTGTCTAGTAAAGAAGATCCAGCATTTAAACCCGAAACAGTGGATAATAAATACATCTACGCCAGTCTAATAGATGTAGAAGAGATAAAAAGCTGGCCACCAGATCAAATCTAATAATCCCTTAAATCTTTGCTTATGAGGCCTTCTGCAAGACAGTAGCAGAA